CCGGGAGAGTCTATTTTGAAGAAGTGGCATTAGAAGTTTAAGTTTCAAAAATTTGGCTCTCCAAAGAAATTTCGATCATTGTACTGTTGATATTTGGCTCTGTTGACTAATGAGTTTGCCAACCACTGCCCTAAATAATCAATTCAGTAAAGAGGAGATCCAAAAGGCTAAAAACTTATAAAAGGACACCTTAATGAAACCCTACTTCATATTCATCAGTGACAAAAATAAAAAAGTCTGACAATGATAAGTATTAGCATGAATGGCAGACATGAAAATTCTAATACAAAGCCAGTGGAAAAAATAAACTGGTAACTACTGGTAAAGTTAAAGGCATCTCCAGAAAAAGTATGCTTATATGCATTAGGATCCATGTATAATAATAGTCATAGCATTATTTATAATTGGCGAAAGAAACAACTCCAATATCCATCAGCAACAGTGTAGATATAAAAATGGAAGCATATTCCACATTTCTCATTATATTAATCCTCAGTTACCCAAATAATGTCAGGGCTTCAGTCTCCCTCTTAACATTACCTTACCCAATTTCAGTCATTATATCCTATAAGAATCGACTCCCTAAATATTTCTGGAAACTTCTTTCTTTCTCCACCTCTAATAACTCCTTAATCTGGGACTTTATCATTTATCACCCAGATAAATATAAGACCTCCTCTAAAAGTCTCATCCCCATTGCAAACTGGTGCACTACATGGTAGTAGGGCTGTCAATTTTAAAGCCGTATGATCATATAAATCCCTCCACCTGGATGACATACAAGTAAAAGTAATGTTTACATTTACTAGACACCAGCTATGTGCCAGGCATTATCTCATTTATCCCTATAATATTGCAAAGTGGGCCAAAATTGGTTTGGCTCAGTGGGAGAGCGTCGGTCTGTGGACTGAAAGGTTCCAGGTTCGATTCCGGTCATGGGCATGTACCTTGGTCATGGGCACATCCCCGGTAGGGGGTGTGCAAGAGGCAGCTGGTCGATGTTTCTCTCTCATCGACGTTTCAAGCTCTCTATCTCTCTCCCTTCCTCTCTATAAAAAATCAATAAAATATATATTTTTAAAAAATGTTGCAAAGTGGGTGTTATTGTATTTGTTACAGATGAGGCAATCAAACCTCAGAAAGGAATAACTTACCTAAATTCACACAACTAATAAATGAACAAGCCAAGACTCAATTTCAGGGCTTTGCAATGGAAAAGTCCTTGCTTTTAATCAATACATTATTCTGCCTAAATTCTTAAACATGGCGTATGTTAAGTTATTCATGATATAACCTTAGACTATTCCCCAGGTACCTCCTGTATCTCTGTCCCTCTGTTCCACTTAGCCAGAGCAGACATTACCACTCCATTCACTCCTTTTCCTTACTAATAACTTCTATTTTATTCAGGATGGTAATATGTTCCATCTAAAAACTATTTCTCCTGGCCTTCCTTGAAGCACAGTTCTGCTGAAAGAAATGTAAGTGGAAAATTCGGGATGGTGTTTCTGGGAAAGCTCTTTAAAAGAGGTTATATGTACATATGCATAACCCATGGACACAGACAACAGTGTGGAGAAGGCCTGGGTGGGGAATGAGCCCGAAACCTAGGAATGTACCTCCACTGGGAATAGCACGAAAAGATACACAACCAACTTAGCCAAACTGACCAGATTAATCTTTATTGCAGTGCTATTTTCTATCCAAATGACTGTAATAGAATGGAAAAATGTTTTGTGAAAGCCAATTCTCAAAGGCCCCTACATGTTATTGGTGGGTATACCAAGACTGCAATGCCTTGACCACTCTTTTTTTTTTTTTTTTTTTTAATATATTTTATTGATTTTGTACAGAGAGGAAGGGAGAGAGATAGAGAGTTAGAAACATCGATGAGAGAGTCATCGATCAGCTGCCTCTTGCACACCCCCTACTGGAGATGTGCCCACAACCAAGGTACATGCCCTTGACCGGAATTGAACCCGGGACCCTTCGGTCCCCAAGCCGATGCTCTATCCATTGAGCCAAACCGGTCCCGGCATTGACCACTCTTTAACCAAGCCATTTCTCAGCATTGCATTTGCAGTGGTCAACCTTGAAGGGTGAGGTAACATCTCCTTTCAGACAAAGGGTTTGTTTTCTTTCACTAAAACCAAAAGTAGAGTCCTCAAGCTCAGTATTCCTAAACTGTGACACAAAACCACTGCACACATAAGATCCAAGTGGGCTGCTCTGTATCACCCCCATGGGACTTGGGAGGCATGGGAAACCAATGCCAGCATGATGCTCATGCTATTTGCTGTGCCATCTTATCCTATATAATAAAGAGCTAATATGCTAATTAGACAGGACGGCAGAACTATCTTCAGGAATGACCTCCTGAACCGACCAGTAGGTGGGAGGCTGGGCTGAGGGGCCACAAGGCAGCTGGGGCTGCAAATGCCTACTTTTGTATCAGGCCTCTAGTAAATAATAAAATCTCTGACCTAGGAGATCATGTTTTCTGCCGCATCCATAACAGGAAGAGGCTAACTTGTAAGAAGGTATAATCTCCAATCCTCACAAGGTATTGGTTCAAAAGAAATTTATCATTCCAAGTTTGAAAGCAGGTTTGAATCACATCCTTTGTAACTAAGTGGAATTCCTATAAGAGATAGGTCAATTAAGATAATTTAAAACAACAGAATGTCCTCTAAGGGGCCATTAAAGAACTGCTGGAAATTTTGACATTTTGAGATGAAAATTCTGTTTGTTGTCTTTATACATCAAAAATTTTTGAGGAAATTCAAAAGTTGTTTAAGATAAAGAGGCCACGTATATTATTACTCTATGATTTCATTTTAAAGAGGAGAGAGTTATCAGACAATGCATAGGCCAAAAATATTTTATCAAACAAAACAGGAAAATGTGACAAATTGAATTAAGAAAATTAGGTGTTGGAAGTTAATACTATGCTTTATTTCAAACATAAACTACAACCCTGTGAAAGTTAAAAAACTAAATATTTTCCTAAAAAGTAAAAAAAACATAGGATATACTCAAGGTATTGTGTTAATAAGTGATATATTTCTGAACATAAAAACCCTACAACCTTTTAAGTTGGCAAATAAATAATAAGATGTATTCCTTTCTACACAAAGAAATTTCTAATGCTACCCAGCAACTTCGTACCCCTCCTCTTTCTGAAATTCCCAATTATCATTAAAACAGTGCCCTAATTTGACTAATCAGAATCACAATCTATTCAAGTGTCACTAATTCAGAAAATAAGTGAGAAATAGCTGACAGCAAAGTGTCCAGAAAACTCAAGGCTCTGTATTCAAATATATTATGGGAACCATCAACATAAAAAAAAGGGTATTTCACCCTAACCGGTTTGGCTCAGTAAATAGAGTGTTGGCCTGCAGACTCAAGGGTCCCAGGTTCAATTCCAGTCAAGAGCATGTTCCTTGGTTGCAGGCACATCCACAGTGGGGGGTGTGCAAGAGGCAGATGATCGATGATTCTCTCGCATTGATGTTTCTAACTCTCTATGCCTCTCCCTTCCTCTCTGTAAAAAAATCAATATATATATTTTTAAAAAGGACATTTCTATGGAAATACCATATATATTAAAGACTAATTCAGAATAGTTATAAAAAGAAGAAGAAAAAAAGTACAACTCTCAAATTATTTAGAGAAAGTAACTTGAGGTAAAATGCCAATTGTGGTATCACCTTTTGAACACAGCATATCATAAAGGCAATCATTATTTACATATTGCTATCATTTTTCATATAAGGTAAGGATGGATGAAGTCATTAAATATTAACCAAGCTTTTACAGGGTGCAGGAGAACAGGGATTTCATTTATTTACTTTTTTTAATGCAATAGTATTTTATTTTAGTTATTTTATAATTATGAAGAAAATTACTTTGATAAAACAATGACAAAATGATATCCTTCTTGTTATTGTTCCATTGATTTAAAAATAAACAAATATTTATTTGGCAAATTGCTAGGGTATTTTGTTAGCAAACATTCCATATTTATGCATTTCACTTACCCAAAATTACAAATCTAATATTGAAAAAGTGAAATACTATTTAGTTTTACTGCTTATGAAATTATGAAATAATCTATAAGATTAAAAATATTTAAGATTAAAATGGTTCCTATTTGATAAAGAAGTGACTTACTCAAGTTTAGGTGTTTTTAAAAAAAGATGTATTCTACTAAACATGTGGTTGGGCAAGAAGTATTTTGGGAGTTAATTAAAAGTACCTCCTATGGGGAAGGAGAGGGTGGGTGGGTGGGTGGGTGGGAAGAGATCAACCAAAGAATTTGTAAGCACATATGCATAACCCATGAACATAGACAACAAACAGGATGGTGAAGGCTAGGGGAGAAGAAGGAGGGGTGGGCTAGAAGAAGTTAATGGGGAGAAAAGGGGACATGTGTAATACCTTCAACAATAAAGATTTTAAAAATAAAAGTAACTCCTATTAATTAATTAAAATTAAGGGTATTTTCACTTCTGAAATAAAGCTCTCTTTTTAGCAATATAAACTATGTTCATGTTTAAGAGAAACGTGCCATGCTCTAAACTTTAAAAACATTTTCCATTCAGTAAATGATCGGCCTTTAGTGTACACTAGTGATCTGAGATAGAGTTTGGTAAAAGTCATTTCAAGAAGCAAATTTAGGGCAAAGTGTTCACAGCATTGGTACCTACTCTGATCACCAAGGACTCATTAGTATTTCTTCACTACCTTAATGACCTATTGTTTTAAAAAGACTTTGCATGTATTAATTTATTAATTGAAATGGTGACAGCAACATGAAATTTACAAAGAGAGCTTCCAATAAGCATAAAACACTTGTAACAAACAGTGCTATGGAATTTCAGAAAAAGCAGACACTAGATATTAAACCTTACAGTTCAATGGAGACATTGAGAATAAAACACTAGGAACACAAATTAATAAAAGCATTCTAAAATTGAGTCAATAAGGATATTCACCACATGGGTTGATTGCAGAGCTAAGCGAAGCAGCTCCAGTGGAAAGGCCGCCTTTAGAGACCGATGAAGCCACAGAAGGTATAGAAGATGAAGTTGGTACAGTAGAGGAGGCTGTTGAGGATGGTAACCGCTCGCCAGACTCCATATCTATGAGGGGGAGAATTCTCAGTTTTAGATAGAATTAGTCAAAAGAGTTAAACATTCTTAATATAAGTCAAACATTTAGGCATAGTTTGTAAGGATATGAAGTAAGTCTAGAAATGTTCTTCAGAAAGATAAAATATGGAATAAATAAAACCAATATAATTAAATCTAAAATTATTTCAAAATAAAAAGTGAAGGAGAAAACAAAAACATTAGGTCTGGCACATAAAAAACACTCAAAAAATATATATACATAAACCTAACCATGAAAGAAATGAATATACAGATTACATTTGATAAGGGACATCATCTGGGTTCCAAGGCTGTGTTTGTAGTTTATTAGCTATGACCATGTATAAACTATGTAACTTCAGTGAATCTTCCATTTCTTCACGAAGACAATGAAGATGTAGTTGGAAGGATTAAATGAGATAATGCAGATAAAGTGCTGAGTACCTAACATTCAATAACTGTCAGCTTTTGTCTTTATTAAGTGAATAACTGTGTGTATAATGAGCCATGTGCACGTGAGGCAGTAAAATAAAAAACCTTAAGGTATTTTTAGATTATTGCTTTCAAGTACGTATTTCAGTCATATCTATTTATAGATTATGTATATGCTTGGAATGTTGTCATATTTTTTAGCCAGATACATTTTGTGTTAAGAATTAAAAATAAATGCCTTACAATTGTATAAGTACTAATGGTAGTGTGTTTTTACTATGAATTTTTCAAAATAAGCTGGAACATACATATAAATAAAACATCAGTACATTAATTTTCAGTTGAAAAACATAATTACTCTAGGGTCAAATGTGTTATTATTCATTATTGAAGCATACTACATAAAAATTGGTAAAAATCCATTTATTCAGATTAAGAAAAATGTGTTCATTAAATATTATAAAAGCAGTTTGGGTACCCAAGAACCATTACTTCCCAGATTTCTGTTATGGTCAGAGCATCCAGATCTGGTACTTGCACTCCTGTAATAGCCTCTCTTTCTGAGGCTGTGTGTTAAGAAAACCACTTCATGTAAGGTTCCAAATCACCACTAACCAACAGGCTCTTTTTGGCCAAAAATAGCCCATATACCACAAAGTCAAAATGTAATAACATAACCCCCCCCCACTCACAACACACTTATCTAAGGAACAATATCAACTAGTAGGTACATCTTTTAGTTTAGGGCATTTATTCTCCTATATAATAAAAGCCTAATATGCTAAGTGTCTGATCATCCAGTCAGCCATTCAACCAATCAAAGCATAATATGTTAATGATATGCCAAAGCCCCTCAACTGCTCGCTATGATGCGCACTGACCAACAGGGGACAGATGCTCCAACTGGTAAGGTTAGCTTGCTGCTGGGATCTTGCCAATCGGGACTGATAGATTGGACGGACATGCCTTGGAGTCCCCCCCACAGTCCCTCCTGGGCTGGCCAACCTCCTGCATTCCTCCCTAGCCCCACCATGCACCAATGGGATGCCTTGGCCTGGCCTATGCCCTCTCTCAATCCAGGACCTCTTGGAGGATGTCAGAGAGCTGGCTTTGGCCCAATCCCACAGGCCAGGCTTAGGTACCCCACTGGTGCATGAATTCATGCACTGGGCCTCTAGTATAATAAGAGTATATTTCCTAATGCATCATTTCAGAATGATTTATTTACAAAGTCATCCAGATAGGATAAAAATTACTACAACTAAAATTTAACATATATTACTACACTAAAAAAATAAATCAGGCCGAAACTGGTTTGGCTCAGTAGATAGAGCGTAGACCTGTGTACTGAAGGGTTCCAGGTTCGATTCCAGTCAAGGGCATGTACCTTGGTTGCGGGCACATCCCCAGTAGGCGACTGATCGATGACACTCTCTCATTGATATTTCTGACTCTCTATCACTCTCTCTTCCTCTCTGTAAAAAGTCAATAAAATATATATATTTATAAATAAATAAATAAATAAATAAATAAATCAGTTGATAGTAGTAAGAAAAAATCATTTAGAAGATGATGGAGTATAAATGATTTGATTTATTATTGACCTTTCCCAAGTTCTAAAGCACTAGCTCACAGCCAGGGATTACTTTCCACTAGGTAACATGGGACAATGTCTGGAGACATATTTGATCACCACACAGGACAGGGTGCCATGGCATTGTGCAGATAAGACCCAGGGATGCTGCTAGGCTGCTAAACCTCTTAAAATGCACAGGACCCCCGCCCCAAAATTACCTGGTCCAAAATGTTAGTAGCACTAAGTTGAAAAAATTAGATCCGAAGTATCAAAAACTACAATCCTTGGAATTCAGTTAACCAAAACTTTGTTAAGTAGTAACTCTATATAATTATTCTAATGAAATAATTCAAGCTGATTTATTACCACTGCAATAAATGAAAAAATTATATTCAACCTCTCTTTTATGTCAGCATGCCTGTAGTCTATTGCTTTACATTTTGCCCTAATTGTCTAAACCTGATAATGCATGATATACAATGAATACATATTGTAATCGTCACTCATGCCAGGTAACATCAATTTACTGCACTTTACTAAGGTAATATTTACCTATAACAATTCTGAGAACAGACAAAAATTACAATTACCACAATGCATAATTTCTGTTTCACAACTGTTTCACTGCCTGATGATTTTCTAGAGGCCAATAAGATTCAATGATCAGTTGCTAATGATAATTCTGTTCAAATTCATTCATATCAAATGTTTTTTGTGTGTAATCATACAGTTTATGGACACTGACATTTGCTATATGTAAACCTGAACAGGTGCAAATAAAGAAGGGCAAGGCACTCTGGCTAAGAAATACAAACATGGTCAACTGCCGGATGTTTCACTATATTCCTTCACTATTGAGAAAATAGGAGCAATAGAATAGAATGAAGATTCAGAAGGAAACATTAAATTAGACTTAAGAGATTTCTCCTGGAAGAGGTTTCCTTTTCTGTGTGTTAATCCATGCTAGAGGATATTTATTCCTTTGATTTTTAGAGAGAGGAAGGACGGAAGGAGGGGGAAAGAGGAGAAAGAGAAACATCAACGTGAGAGAGCTCGACATCGATCAGTTGCCTCCCACACCCACCCTACCCTGGGTGAGGAACCTCCAACCCTGGTGTGTGCCCTTAACCAGAATTGAACCTGGAACCCTTTGGTTCTCAGGCCAAAGCTCTGACTGCTGAGCAACACTGGCTAGGGCCTGGAAGAAGTTTTCTTAAAGAATCTCTTTATCTTTGTTAACAATACCCAAAGTTCTCTGTCATAGTTCAAAGCACACAAGTAGAGTTGGTGAACCCTTACTTGCTTTGAAATAATTTTTAAATGGTGACAGTTTTCGTGAGATCAAAATTCCATCCTTCATCCGCATCCAGGAGAAAGGAAGGTCTGTGTGTACTATGCTTTACTCAAGCTTTCTCTATACAGACAATCTAACTTGCCAGTTAGGACTTCTTGCCATTGAGGCAATCCTTGACCTTCAACAGTAGTGCACATTATCCTGCTCCTGAGGTCAAAGCTGTCTGGACTAGACAAGGAGACAATGGCTGGCCAGATACCTAGGACATGTATTCACTATCTCTAAAAGATGCTATAATCTAATAAAATTCTCTCTGACATAGACATGTTAACTAATAGAAATGGGAACTTGGTGCTGAGTGGGAGATCATAAAGTTTGTGGTCCTAAGAATATGGAAACTAAGAAAGGGTGGGTTGGAAAAAAAATGTTGGAAAACCAAGTGTACAGAAAAGCTGGTGGTCCTGACAGAAGATGAAAGCATGACCAATCTCAGGTTCTTTTCCTTAAACATGCCTTTTTTGTGTGTGTATGTGTAAAGTAAAGCAATATATACACACCTCCTGGTGTGCAGGAGGCAGCCAATCAGTGATTCTCATCACTGATCTCTCCCGCTCTTAAATCAAGAATCACTGATTGGCTACCTCCTGCACACCCCACTGGGGATCCAGTCTGCAACCCAGGCATGTGCCCTGAACGTGAATGGAACCTGGACCTCCTGATTCATAGGTCGACACTCAACCACTGAGCCACACCAGTCGGGCGCCGTTTTTATATTCTCATATGCCCTGAGACTCCTCTCTATCCTTTCAAATATCAATCATTTTAATTGAGTTTTAAGGGGTATTGTTATTTGCAACTGAAACAGAATTGCCAACAAACTCGCGAACAAATGGCAAGTTTAATCTCATCTTTGTTCATGTTTACACCACTGATCCATATTCTGTTTTTCCTTTTCAACAATGCAAATATGTGCCCCAGAGTCACTGTATCCATAAAGTTGTATCTGACTAATATTAGGCCACAACTTCCCACCTTTGAACTACAGAGCATTTTAGCTTCTACCCAGAAAACTGCTAATTACATTGGCTTTTTAGTGCTCTGTATTTGAATTCACTGTATTATTCAGCACATAGCCAACTTGTCTGCTGAGTCTTTGTTTCTGAATCAGTAAAAAGGGGTTAATTACAGGTACTTCAAAGAGCCATTGTAAAAAGAGTGCCTTGTACACTTCCTGCTGGCATTGATGTGTTTATATGGTTGGTCAGAATTCGAAGAAAATATCTTTAATTTCTTCAAACTTGATATACAAGAGTGTAGGAAAAGAGCTCATTGAAATTGAACAAAGTTTCTTTCTTAAGGCAAATGTGAGCAAATGTTAAGTTAAAAAGGTAAGTTAAAAATGTCAAGGGTGCCCTGACCAGTTTTGCTCAGTGGATAGAGCATCGGGCCATGGACTGAAAGGTCCTGGATTTGATTCTTGGTCAGGGCAATGCCTGGGTTGCAGGCTCAATCCCCAGTAGGGGGCATGCAGGAGACAGCTGATTGATGTCTCTCTCTCTCATGGATGTTTCTAATTCTCTATCCCTCTCCCTTCCTCTCTGTAAAAAAATCAATTAAAAATGAGCATTTTGACTTCCAATTAAGATTTCTTTCACAGGTAAAACCGCAACAGATATACAAGAAGTAC